GAGTTCGCATCTTGGTGCGGAGAATGGCAAAGCTCACTGATGATGCCTACTACGATGCCAGCGAAAGGTTTGAAAATGTATCAAGTCCACTGTCAGATGCTGGGAATCATGACAACTACTATGGCAGACGACTTCGGGGGTGCGTTCTACCTGGTCTCCCTGAAAACAAGACCAAGTTGCGACAACGAGGTCAACCCACTTCTATCAAAGTCTCGACAACGAGTTCAACCTACTTCTTAATATTGTTTGTTTTACCATACGGGTGAAGCATGAGCACAGCAGGATTGAACATGCGTATTCAAGTTATCAAAAGGTCCTTTAAGCACTTAGCTAGAGCCTTTTGATTATGATTACTCAACCGAAAAAGTAAATAACTATTAAAGGGGGTAAGTGCCGTTTGAGATGCAAGGAGTGGAGTTAAAAAAAAAGATAGATAAAATAGTTCGATCGGAAACAGCGTTCAGGAGCGGTACTTGCTATACTAATAATTTGTATAAAAGAAGCATAAACAGCTTAACCTGAGATAAACAAATAAATAGCGACGTCAAACATTTTGGTCCGGTCATTAAAAAGAGTTGAGCAGTATATGATCCTAGAAATAATATTTTGAAAACGTCTGACATCTATCTCTTAATATAAAATCACAGAGAAAGCTAACTAAGTATGTCCATTGAATTTGTACGTCCATAGTGAAAAGCATATGAGTAAGCGATACTAAAGAATCATGGCTAAAAAGGACTTACCCTAGCCGTTTTAAAACTGAAATGGCAGAAGTTAAGCTGTGATAAAGCCTCCTAAGTAGAAATGACTAAATTCGTAAAGCATGAATAACAACTTAGATAATGGATTGAGATTCAAGCCACTCATTTTTCGGCCAATAATCTAAGTATAATGGATGCTTCAAAATAAAATCAATAAAATATCTTTTATTTAGAAAATAGTTAGGTGAAAATCGTGCAAAATTACGCACAATCATGAATGAGCAATATTCTAGCAGAGATGGCAAAATCAAGGCAATACGGTCTTATTTTTGGTGGCGATATCCTTTCATTGTATATGCCTGATTTTACAGCATTTACTCAACTAAGCTGCATGTATTGAGAACTGAAAAAAAGGTGCTCTGTATTCCATTCTTTATTATTGGTGTCAAGTATTTATACTTATGGCTGACAATAAGAAAAGTTGAGTGGATGGGACAAGATATAATAGAATACTAATTAAAGACTGGCAAATCATTAAGCACGTTGGTGGAATAAAAGGCAATGATAATACAAACGGTCAATTATAAACTAACGTGAGTTCCCAAATTCACTGATCAAAATAAATGGAGAGACTTAACCATGAGCCCTCTCTCAGTGATGGATCAAAGAAGCTATGGATAATGCCAACTAGCCACGTAGCAGTATTCCGACTAATCATAAGGTTGGGAGTAGTAATTTTGAAATAATTGTTTAGAAACAAGGAGCTAAATAATATGGTGAATCAGAAATGTTACGTTGACGATCTTTAAGCTGAGCGTAAAGTGAGAAATAGAAGGAATAAAAAATAAGCAGATATGAAGAAATTAATAGAAATTCAAGAGATGAAATGTACGGTGGGCGAATGGAAAAGACTGGATAAGATATTATGGGCATTCAATCAGACATTCATTGATATTCCACTCCGCATTTCACCAGTGGGGCCTAGCTGCTCTCTCTCATGCTAGAAGATTGCAAATAGATTAAGGGCAATTATCCTGAAGTGTCATATCAACGATCCTCAACTATAAAGGCATATAACAACATTGGTAGAGGAAAGGGTATAAAGTAATTCGTGGGGATAGCAAA